GCAGCTTTCTTGCAGATATTAGAGCAACTTCAAAACTTCCCAATGGTTTGGTTCACTTGCAAAGGAACCTTCTTTCAGATCTCCAAAAGGGGAAAGAAAAGAAAATATACAGCTTGGATGAAGGAATAACAAAGATCAAACGGGCGATACGTTGCAAAAGAGTTCTTATTGCTCTTGATGATGTGGACAACTTGGAACAATTCAATGCAATTCTTGGAATGCGAGAATGGCTTCATCCAGGAAGTAAAATAATCATAACAACTAGACATGAACATTTGTTAAAGGTTCATGAGAATTATGCAATGTTTAAGGTGGAAGGGTTGCATGAGTTCGCAGTTTATCCAAGATATAGTTGAAGTTATTGGAAATAAAATGGATCACACATGGAATAGGAGATTAAGAGTCGATCCCTATGTAGTTGGAATATATTATCGTGTGAAAGGCCTAAACATGTGGTTAGAAGATGGATCAAGTGATGTTGGAGTAGCTGTTGTCTATGGGATGGGTGGAATTGGCAAGACCACCGTTGCCAAGACTGCTTATAACCAGAACTTCTATAAATTTCAAGGTAGCAGCTTTCTTGCAGATATTAGAGCAACTTCAAAACTTCCCAATGGTTTGGTTCACTTGCAAAGGAACCTTCTTTCAGATCTCCAAAAGGGGAAAGAAAAGAAAATATACAGCTTGGATGAAGGAATAACAAAGATCAAACGGGCGATACGTTGCAAAAGAGTTCTTATTGCTCTTGATGATGTGGACAACTTGGAACAATTCAATGCAATTCTTGGAATGCGAGAATGGCTTCATCCAGGAAGTAAGATAATCATAACAACTAGACATGAACATTTGTTAAAGGCTCATGAGAATTGTGCAATGTTTAAGGTGGAAGGGTTGCTTGAGAATGAATCACTTGAGCTTTTCAGTTGGCATGCCTTTAGACAACCCCATCCTGGCGAAGGTTACATGGATCTTTCAAGACCTGTAGTGCAACACTGTGGAGGGGTTCCATTAGCTCTTCAAGTTCTAGGATCTTCTCTCTTTGGAAAAGCTGCAGATGTATGGAAAAATGCATTACAGAACTTGGATGTGATTACTGAAGGAAAAATTCAAAAGATTCTCAGAATAAGCTTTGATTCTCTGCAAGATCATGACAAACGTCTGTTCCTCCATATAGCCTGTTTCTTCATAGGAAAAGACAAGGATTTTTCAACTACAGTCCTTGATGAATGTGAGTTTGCCACAAACATTGGAATTCAAAATCTGGTTGATAGATGTCTGCTGATAATTGATGGATTCAACAAGTTAACCATGCACCAATTACTTCAAGACATGGGAAGGGGAATTATTCGCGAAGAATCGCCTGAGGATCCTGGAAAACGTACTAGAGTGTGGAATAAAGATGCCTCTAATGTTTTGAGAAAATTAACTGTAAGAAATATCTTCTTTTATGTCTATGTATTCGTAATTGTGTTGTGCATGTGACAAGTTACTTACCCAATGTTCTTATTTGTTAAATTGTTACCAGGGTACAGAAACTATTAAGGGCCTCATGCTCAACATTCCTATGTTAATAAAAGATGAGTCTTCTAAGATAGCATCCAGTGGAAGTAACAGAAAAAGATTCCATGTTGAAGATTATGATGGAAACTGTTCAAGCAGCCGACGTCGGCTTGGTTTCTTCTCCTGGCAGTCAATTAGTTTTTCTTCAACAAACTCATTTCCTGTATCAAATGAGATAGGTTTCAAAACAGAGGCATTTAGAAGGATGCAAAATCTTGAACTCCTGCTGCTTGATAATGTACAAGTGAGTGGAGGCTATGAAGATTTCCCAAAAAATTTAATATGGTTGTCTTGGCGAGGATTCGCTTTAAAGTCGATACCAACCAATTTTTATTTGGAAAATCTAATTGCTCTTGACTTGCGGAACAGCAGCCTCCAACATGTTTGGAAGGGAACTAGGGTATGCCACTAATCTCTCTCTCTCTCTCTCTCTCTCTCTCTCTCACACACACACACAGAGACAAATTTAAAGATGATTATATATTTATAGAAACTAATTACTTCTTTTTTAAAACAGTTTCTTCTAGGACTGAAAATCTTAAATCTCAGTCATTCACATGGCCTTGTGACAACCCCTGACTTGTCAGGACTCCCTAACCTCGAGAGATTAATTCTTAAAGATTGCATAAATTTGAAAGAGGTGGATGAATCCATTGAAGATTTGGAGAAACTTGTTTTCTTGAATCTAAAAGATTGCAAAAATCTCATTAAGCTTCCAATAAGAATTAGTATGCTGCGATCTCTTCAGAAACTTATTCTCTCTGGTTGCCCAAATCTTGTGCTGCCTGCCAGTATGATTGTTAAAAATCACTCAGACTCTACACCTAGTGACGTGAAGAAACTCAGTCTGTTATCTGCAGTTAAATTGTGGCAATCAATCCGATCACGGGTATTGCCAAGAAAAAATCTCCAACTTACCAGTGCAAGTTTGCCACAATTTTTAAAAAGCTTAAGTATGGCATACTGCACTCTGTCAGAAATTCCCAATGGTCTTAGTAGCCTATCCTCATTGAAGCATTTGAATCTAAGTGGAAACCCATTTTTGAGCCTATCAGTAAACATGAATGGTCTTAGTAAGCTCCAGACTCTTGTGTTGGATGGTTGCCCAAACCTCGAAATGCTTCCCGAGCTCCCACCAAGTGTAGAGAGATTGCAAGCATGGGAATGTACTTCATTGAAAAGAGTACTAACAAACTTACCCACCGCGTTCAAAACAATGGGACATGAGGTTTTGAGATGCGAGAATTTAGTTGAATTTCGAAAGGTGTTCAAAACAAGACCGTTGAGAAGTGTCGACATAGAAATGATAAAAGATATCGGTCTGTTCAATTTGGAATCCATAGGAAGCACTGAAGTTGAAATGATCAACTACATGACACGTACAACGAGGAAGGGCCCTCTCCAGGTTCTCTCTCTCTCTCTCTCTCTCTCTCTCACATGTATTATATAGTTTTTTATGATGATTATGATTTTCTGTGGCCTGTAATATTTGAACATATATAAATCTCTCTATGCATGCATGAAACAGGGACTGGATGAATGTGGTATATTTAGCATATTCCTTCCTGGGAGCGAGGTTCCAGATTGGTTCTGCTATAAGTCGAGCATGGGTAACTCTGAGCTGTCTATAACTATACCTCCACATCTTAATTTGAAGATCCGAGGCCTAAATGCATGTGTTGTGTATGCACAAGGTAAGGTTCTTGTTGAGGAATTGAAATGTTACTCGGTCGTTCCCTTAATTCGCATCAGTAATGAGACCAAGGGTCTTAAGTGGACCTATTTGCCAGTCACAATAGGGTTTCCAAAAGAGAAGGAAGATATGCTATGGCTTAGTCATTGGCGATTCACAAACGATGAATTGGAAGGTGGGGAAGAAATACGTGTTTCGGTTAGAGATGAATCCGATAGTTTCTGGACAAAGGAATTTGGAATCCAGCTTGTGTACGAGCAGAATAATAATGAGGGTACTGTAACTGAAGATATAACCACAATGTTCCAGCATGAAACAAATACTCCTTCGAGCAAGAATCATGTCATTGCTGGAGATGTGTCAGCGTCAGCATCAAGGTTTGAGTTGGATAAGGTGGATGAATACGTTATTTGTAATCATAGTCATATAGGAGTCGTCTCATACATAGACATATAGGATAAGCATCAAAGTCTGAGTTGGAAAAGCTGCAGATTATTTGCGAAGAATCACCTCAGGACCCTGGAAAACGTAGTAGAGTGTGGCATAAAGATGCCTCTAATGTTTTGAGAAAATTAACTGTAAGAAATGTGCTCTTTTATGTTTATGTATTCATAATCGTCTTGTGCATGTATTGCCCTCCTTTGTTTAAGCAGGAGTGCTTTTTAGGGTGTTTTTAAATAAAGTGCATTTCAAATTTCCTGTAAATTTTCGTATTAATTAATAAGTTAATTTGCCGATTGGGTTGTTCAAACAAGTATTCTAGTTGAGCAATCATTTGAAACTTCGTAACACGTTTACATAACCATATTTCGCCTGAGAGTGACTGGGATGGTATCCGAGCCAACTTGGGGTCTAGCTCTGTAGTGGAAGCTGAGCTGTGGGGATTTACAGCCGCTTGTGTTTAGCTTGGGATTCAAGGTGCAGGCTCCTTGAGGTTGAATGGGGATTCTTTTCAGTTTTGCACCCATTCAAATTCTTGGAACAGAGAGAGTGAGAGAGGTGGAGAATATTGAACAACAATCGATTTGGGATAGTCCATTTTCTTCCACAGTGTCTGAGTCGGGAATTTCATCGAACAGTTAGCGAGCAACTTACTAATCCACCCTGGTCCGCTTTTGTGTGCTGAAGACGTAGCTCTGCTCTTTGGTCATCAGGAGCTTGGAATCCAAGTCCTCATGGAGATAAGTCAATGACTCTCCTCTTGACTTTCCTTAGTATTTGCATCGATCCAACCCTACTTTTCTTATCTGTAATCATGCTTTACATTTGCATATGATATTTTGTTTTGGGTTTTAAACTGAAGACTCACACTCAAAAGACTCAAGATTAAAAGTTCCCATTTCCATTTTTTTCCTAAATAATTACAATGCAGAAGGCATTCACACAATTTCAAGACCACAAACTAATCATCAAATACTTAAAAAATTTCAATTAATTAGCTCTCAGTCTATATCATAAATATTTAGGTGGAATTGGCCTCTTATTCATCAGTCAATACACAGGAAAATAAATTGTTTACATTTGTGCATGTAAAAAATTGTTTGTCTTACATATAAAACCACCATTGCCAAAGCTGCTTATAACCAGAACTTTGATACATTTCAAGGTAGCAGCTTTCTTCCAGATGTTAGGGCAGCTTCAGAACAACCTAATGGTTTAGTTTGCTTGCAAAGAAAACTTCTTTCGGATATCCAAAAAGGGAAAACAAAGAAAATATACAGCATAGATGAAGGAATGAGCAAGATCAAACTTCTTGTGCGTTGCAAAAGGGTTCTTATTGTTCTTGATGATGTGAACCACTCTGAGCAATTCAATGCAATTCTTGGAATGCGAGAATGGTTTCAACCAGGAAGTAAAATTATCGTAACAAATAGACATGAAAATCTGTCAAATGATCATGCAGTTTATGCAATGTTTAAGGTCAAAGGATTAGGTGAGGGTGAATCACTGGAGCTTTTCAGTTGGCTTGCCTTCAAACAAGCGCATCCTATCAAAGGTTACATGAACCGTTCAAGATCTGTAGTACAACACTGTGAAGGCCTTCCACTAGCTCTCCAAGTTTTGGGATCTTCTCTACTTGGAAAAAGAGTAGATCTATGGCAAAGTGCATTACAGAAGTTGCATGTGATTCCTGATGACAAGATTCAAAAAATTCTTAGAATAAGCTTTGATTCTCTAAAAGATGATCATGACAGGAATTTATTCCTTCATATTGTCTGTTTCTTCATAGAAAAGAAGATGGGTTATACAATTACAGTACTAGACAATTTAAATTTTTACAAAAGGATTGGAATTCAAAATCTAGTTGATAGATGTCTAGTGGAAATTGATATAGACAACAAGTTGATCATGCATCAATTACTTAGAGACATGGGAAGGGCAATTATTCGTGAAGAATCACCCGAGGACCCTGGAAAGCGTAGTAGAGTGTGGCATAAAGATGCCTCTGATGTTTTGAGAAAATTAACTGTAAGAAACTTGCTCACTTTTATATTTGTGCAATGCTTGTGAACTTGTTACTTACCAGATGTTCTGATTTCGAAGCAGGGAACAGAAACTATTAAGGGCCTCATGCTCATCCTTCCTAGCGAGGCAATATTTAGTACAAGTAACCAAAAGCGGTGCCATGTTGAAGACTTTGATGGAAATTGTTCAAGACGACGTCGACTTGGTTACTTCTCTTGGATATCAATTAACTCTTCCTCAACAAATTCAGCTGCTGCATCAAATGAGGTAGCCTTCAAGGCAGAGGCATTTAGAAGAATGCACAATCTTGAACTGCTCCTGCTCGATAATGAATTCCTCGAACAACCATACAAATGAATCCGTGGTTTCACTAGTTAGGAATGCACAACCAAACAACAATGTATGCCGATGGTTATTAACGCCTGACAAAGGATCAAAGACCATCCCATAGCGGTTCGTGTTGAACGTCGTATCAAATACCACACATCCCCAAAAAAACCTATATGCTCGTCTTGACCTTGCATCTGCCCAGAAAACATTACAAACCCTTCCTTCTGAATCTACCTCCATCTTGAAATAAAATGATTCATTCTTTTCTTGTTCATCCAAAAATGCTCCTTTAGCAGCTCTGCATCATCCCCAATCACCTCCCCCGCATATCCCTTGCATAATTATATACCTCTCTCTTAACAAACCCAACATTTTCCAATGCCCCAACTTGCACTTCAAGAAGGCTTACCTGTTTATGTACATGGATATTAACTTTGCTCATACCTTTGTAGACTCTGTTAAGTTAAAGTGAGATCTCAATAGATGAACTTTATCAATTGTGGTCATGTCATGGTTGTGTACCTCATTGAATCGTACAACAATGTACTTATTCTTGTCTTTTACTACCTAATAGGTTTAATCTTGCAACTAGTTCAAGTACAACCTTGATGTCTTCTCTTACGACTAACAGTGCTTGTCAACGAATACCCTTGTTTACAACATAAATATTTTTTCCTTGTTACCTCTCTTGTCAATGTGCACGTTCTTGTTGTAGAACACCAAATGCCGAATTCGGCTTTCGCGGCATACATATTATAGAAATTGAACACATCCTCACAGCAATCAAATGCAAGTCCCAATTTTGGTTTGAAGTCTGAACTTACTTCTAGTATCACCTGTCCTTCACACTCCATTTCACAATTCTTGCAATTTAACCCTGAATATCACATCACCACCATCATACCAACATTGGCACATGTTTTCAAAGAGTTTTAAAATATATGTATTAACTAACATGAAAATGACTATCTGGTGAAACATTAAAAACCTACATACAAACTAACGTAACTCATGTTGATGCCCAAAACTAAAATTGACAAAATACAATATATCACTTACCTCGTAAGTGATTTCCAACTTCAAAATTTCAACAAATACAAAAATGTAGCCCTTTTAGATCTGGACGTCAACCCCAAAAAAATTTCATCTTTATCAACCTCTGTTTCGACCGTGCTCAAGGATTTCAAAACCAAGAGAACATAACCACAACGGTACGATCGCCAATTTCCAACTCAACACCAGTTTCGACGTTGCTCAAGGATTGACAAATGTTCTAACCAGAAATACCAAACCACAAAGATGAAAATATAAAATCCAAGATTGCTTTGTTTCGCTTGAAGGAGAAAGCCAGAAAAATGAGGGTATCGTTTATATGTTCTTCCTCAAAGTGAATAAGGAATAACAGGGGCACTCTCTCTTCAATGTTAGTGTTCTTCCTTAATCAAAGCTGATAAAAAAATTGGCCTCCTAATTGAACAAAGTGAACAGCTGTTTTGGAGGGAGGAAAGAGAAGAAGGCCTCGTTCTAATACAACACTTTCACTTACAATTTCTTTTCACACGGCCGTTAGATTAGATCCAACGGTGTTCTCATGTAATGTTCTCATATAAATGTTCTCACTAGATCCTTTCCTTTTAGTTATATACTCATTCTTAGCACTAGTGACATAGATAAACCATACCCCATTTAATTTCTATAAACAAACCCAAAAAAAAAATCCTAAAAATGATAGCTAACCCTATTAAATTTAATTTTGATTATTAAATTACTTTGATACCCTATTGAGTATTTTGGTTTTTTTAATGAAGTTTTGGGGTTGGGCTTGTTTTAAGAAATCAATAGCAATTTTGTAATTTATAGAAAGTTCAAAGTCTCTTTGTTATGTTATAAATGGGTTTTGGGTGTGTTTCTGAAATCTATTTCATGTAGGGTATTTTTATAATTTGGACTCCTAAAATGGGTATAATAGTGAATCTCCCATAAAAATATTGATTGTCAATTTAAAAATAAATAAATAATATGCAAAAACCAAAATATTGCATTTTGAACCAATAATATGCAGAAAAACAAATTCATTGATAAGCCACAAAATGCATTGCACCTAAAAACAAATACAATAATATTAACATAAAAAATAAACAAAATCACCCAAAATATCATTACAAGCCAATATATAAACATTCCGACAAAAAATTAAACCAATATATAAACGAAGAAAAAAATTTATAGTAGTTAATTGTTATAGTTTTGTGGTGTTTTGTATAATGCTATCGTAACCTGTTATAGCGTTTTTAACACATTATTTGAAGGAAGTTGTGATGTACATACATAGTGGGGCAACTCAAACAAGCATTCCATCAACTGTAGCAGAATCAAGTGTGGAACAATTGGCATTTGGAAGTGCCACTCTTGTCATATAATAGGAACTTCCTTGCAATTTAATTTTTTCAAATTATATTCCAGGTATAACAAACAAAATAAGAAATTGAATTGCAGGGGTATTGTCTTTTTATTGCAATGGTGCAAACTGCCAAGATATAGCAAGCCATATGCATGCGTCTAGCATAGTAGCACGTGACTCTTCTGATCGCTCTCGTTTATAAAGTTAAATGATGGGAGATTCACTATTATGCTCAATATAGGGATTCAATGACAGGACCCGCCCTGAATTCCTCGGAACCCGAGACGAATCCTGTGGAAATTCCAACATCACCGATGCCAGGCCCACTTACTAATGACCAAGACTTTCAACTAAAATTTTGGCAGAGTCTCTCCTGTAAATTGAATAATCCCAAAAATTTCAACCTACTTAAAACACATTTAATATCACCAACTGGCAGCATGCACAAGATAATTTCAAGCAATAAACATAATCGGCCTCCGGCGTTCAAGTAATCCGAAACAAAACTACCAACAAAGCTCTTAAGTCAAATAATACCTTAAACAAGACATATAATAAACTCAAATATAATTATGAATGCCAAATGCAATTTACATCATCTAGCTTCCCAAATATCTAACATACAAGGTTTTAACCTCCGAACACAATCGCAAGTAGTTTAAGGCCTCAGCCCAATCTCAATAAAACAACATAAATAAAATATAGTCAGCGGCTGTACTTGGGTGGGACCCCAGGCTAGCTATGTACCCTTACTAAGGGATCAAGCCACACGTAGTTCTTCACATACATAATCATGCACCAAATGATATACAACCATTTCAGTAGTACAAGTAAATTATTTCAAGAGATATCTTCCCCTTTTTTTATTTAAATCCCAACACACTTCATTTTATACAATAATCTTTCTCCGATATAGTAAAATAATCCCTTTTTCTTCTCCATGTTACTCTATAACACGCCGGATAATCCAACGCCACGTGTGATGAGCAAATAACATAATCATAATGTCTCAAACACTGGAAATTCCAATGCCACATGTAAGACCAGATAGTCATATATTTTTCTAATTCACCAGAAAATCCAACTCCACGAATGTGAAGTGTCTCACACGCCGAAAATTACAACGCCACGTGTGAGACTAGATAGTCATATATTCTTCCCATACGTCGAAAAATCCAACGTCACGTATGGGAAGTGTCTCACATGCCGGAAATTCCAACGCCACGTGTGAGACCAGATAGTCACATATTCTTCCCATACGCTGGAAAATCCAACGCCACGTATAGGAAGTGTCTCACACGCCGGAAATTCCACCGCCACATATGGGAAGTGTCTTGTATTTGATGGATGGTACTCAACATATATAATCCATATTCCGAATAATTATAAGTCTCAAATGTCACAATAATAATAGAGATATTCACAATTTAGCGATTCAAGTCTATAGTAGAATGCAACATAATTTAATCAAATAATAATAATTAAAGATAAGCAACAACCTTTAGAGCATTTCCAGCAAGGGGCCCAAGGGGAGGGCTAGGAGGGGCAAACCCAAAATGGTGTTTCTAGCAACAAAAATCAGCCAGGGCAAGGTGTGGGGCCCAGCGAACTGGGCTGGCCCTTGGGGAGGCCTGGCCTGAGCACCAAAACTTGTTTTAGGCTGATGTCATCGCGCTGACGTCACGACGACATCAGCACTGGGGTTTAAATTTTTTTAACGTTGGCGCGTGAATTGATGCGCCCGCTACAATGTCCCCCCAACAGGTCTATTCCACATGGCAGGCAAGGGGCTGTCTGATCCACTTTTTCCAGCAATCCAACAGCAGCCATTTTTTCGCCAATAAAAAAAATGAAAAAAAATTGGAACTACCCCCCTAACGACTCTCTTCCACGTGGCTCCTTCTAGGCTCTCCGATCCCCTTTTTCCAGCAATCCAATTGCAGCCAATTTTTCCCAAATAAAAAAATGAAAAAAAATCGCAAAAAATTAAAAAAAATACCCAAAAAATACTGAAATTTTTTTCTATAAATACCAACCAATACTCTTCACTTGTAACACCAACTCCTCATACATTTTCTTCTCATTCTACTATTATTCACTTTCTACTCAATATTTTTTTCACTTTCAAGTTGTATTTTTCTAGAAAAATTTATGGGTTCTTCTAGTGAAACCGGAGGGGCATGGAGCATCATGGAAGATGTTAGCTTGTGTGAGTCTTGGCTCCACATTAGTTATTGTCCTGTAACGGCCAATGAGATGAAATTCTGTCATATGTGGAAAAAAATTCATCAGGATTTTTTGTGAAAGGGTAATTGGTTCGACCCGTACGGAAATGACATTATCTAGTATGTGGAAAATTCTTAATAAAGAGTTGGCGAAATGGAGAGATGCCTTGGCAAAAGCGATGGACAACCATAGAAGCGGGGAAAACCTTACCAGTGGACAACCATTGAAGCGGGGAAAACCTTACCAGTGAGGTAAATTATTTGTAATTTTTGTTTTATTAATTTCTATGTCATATTAAATTTTATTTAAATGTTTCTTGCAATTTATATATTTTGCTAATATTTCTTGTATTTCCAATATTAATATGAATGTTTGTTGCAATATTTATATTTTGTTTTGC